TTCCTTTAAATTTGTTGTGAAACGTTACAAACTAAACGCTACAAAACTCTCGTTCACAACTAGAATCGTTAAAGCCCGCAATTCATTCTCCCAGCATATTGTCTCCTCGCAATTGTTGCAAATACTTAAATGGAGACTTCGATCTATTGCAACAAATGAAATCGGATTCATAACCGCATGAAAATTACGTTAATTATTTAACAAGAGGAGACAAAGAAATCGAAAGAAGAGGTTACTTCTCTCACTCAATTTTATTCATTCCTATTTTATTGATTTAGATATCATATAACTGAACCGCTTGATATCGCTCGCTCTCACTGCATAATAATACACACAATTTGATTTTTTTTCCTCCTCTTGAACCTTCTCCCCTCCCCAGCATAAGTTGGGTCAATATATTCGCCAGATTGTCATCATTTGCACCGAATATTACTGCACACATTATTGTGCGAATAAATATCATTCGTATCCTTTCCTAGCGAGAACAAAAGTAAAGAACACAGTATTGCACTGTCACCCAATTTATTTGAAGCCAAATGAATTGGTGAGTTCAGACGGAATTATAGTGGTGTAGTTATAGCAAACATTTGAGGTATGATTGAATATTCAACTTCGAATCGTTCTGAAGTACGGTAAGTTCGAATTCGCTACTTGTCAGCGGTACACTTGTAGATGAAAAGTAGCGAGTTAGCTGATGTCTGCAGAAAAATGGTCCGCTGAAACGCTAACTGAAGAAAATAGTGCAAATTATCGCTGGTTTATGCCACAAAAATCTGCTGTTTGAAAAAGTAGCGCGCTATCGGGCAACCGAAAAAAGTTGCGCTGGTAGCGGAATAGCGAAATAGCGCGCTGTCGCCCACCACTGGTATATACATATCGCCACATAATTTATGCTACTAATGAAGTGCTTTTTCGCACTCTGTTTTGATCAATCGCAGCGGAAGTGTTTTGATAATGAACGATGCACTCCCGAGGACTCTCGTCTCACGAAACTCGCTCTCACAATCGACCAAATTGAGTGATATCAATATTGAGAGGTATATAAATTCTCACACCGAACAAAAGAATCGAAGCACTCTATTGGTAACCGTAGTGTGTAATGGAATGCATGAGGTTTCTGATGGAACATCACTGATGAGCTGTTTTTGAGGGAGGATTTGAACTTTGATTCGGTGGTTGATTTTTATGAGATGATGACGAGGATGATGGTGTGGAAGATGAAGCAGCTAAATTACGGCAGTCTTTTAATCGAACGTCAATCTCAGATATTAGACGTTTCAGATCTGTTGTATGAACCTTAAAGTAATGCATTCACTGTCAACATTTCTACAAAATAAGCCAGCGTTCCATGGAAATAACCACTTGTTAATTAATGAACGTGAGGAGGCAACCGGTCAACTCAATTACAAATTACAGACAGCTGCATATAAATTGAAGAAATTCGGAATTAAGCTGCAAACTTGCTAATTACTTGTTGAGTTCGTTGAGGTGTGAACATATAAGGGTTAATAAGACCTCGAGGTGCACCACGAGGCGCCTTTCTGGTTTCCATAAATGTCCATCGTCTTGACGTATCGAATTTTTCGCCATTCGACGTCTTATTGGCTGAACAGTTGGGAGCTGACTGTACGGAACCTAAAGTATGAAACGCTTCGAACTCGTTGTTTCACATCGATGAAATTTCGTTCAAGTTCATTTGCACTGACGATTGGATATATGAGACAACTCTATGTTACGCAATGCGTAATCCCCAAATCTGGCCAAGCACTTNTAATAATAATCAGCAAAAATAGCCATGATAATGATAATAAAAATAACAACAATAGATAATAGTGCTAATAGTCATGATAATACTTGTAATAACAACAACGATTTTAATTGTGCAACTAAAGAATACCCAATGAGGATCTTGTCTGAACTGAATTGGCACCAGTGGATGTTGAATTACCCGTGATGTTTTGCTTGGGACACATTTGTACACGTTCTTTTTCACACACAACCACCGCTTGACGACTGTAAATAAAGAAATAAATAAAATCATTCATTCAGCTGTCACCTGAATGCGAAGTCATGCTCTGAGGATTGTTGTTCATTTTTATGATAGTATCGTTAGTGAATGAGGAAAATGATACTTTAGGGAAAGTCGATGGGTTGCAGTTACTGAAGGCACAATTCTCTCTTTTATACCACCCTGACAGGCTGGCGAACAAATCATAACCAATGTGTTTTTTATAAGATGGGAATAACTTTGAAGATCTTCTGTGACTTCAATGTAAGTTGAACGTAAGAAGCGATTCTTGCAGAGAATTTCTATCAGATCAATCGAGGATACTTCCAGAGTTTGCAACAGTCCCAAATGAGCAGATTTAACATCATGAACCCGCAATATAGATTTTCAGTCAAACGATTGCAATGACAGAGGATGTG